TTTTCAGCTGTTTAAAATGTAAGTACCTTTTCTTCGTGTTTTAAATTAAATTGTGGCTTTTCTTTTCTATCTAAACTTAGTATGTATTTCACACCTCCCTCCCCCTCGCCACTTAGACCAGGGATGGGCAACCTTTTTTTGTGTAAGGGTCACATTTCAAAACTTTTGAACTAACACTGGCCACATACAAGATAAAAGAGGGGGGAAAATGCCGGTAAATCACAATTATTTATTCATATATAATTATAAAATAGAATAGGTATACTTAATTTAGCTTCTAGAACTGATGTAAACGTAATGTATCAAAAATATTTGATTAAATATTAGTCACTGCTAGTTTTAAATTAGTTTCGAGGTGAGTCTGTTAGCCGGTTTCTCGTTTTAATTTTTACTAAATTCATTGCAGGAAAAACTATTCACACACATAAGTTGTAGAAAATAACGTTTGAATTTTTGCTGCATACTATAAGTTTATGTTATTTTTACGAACAAAAAATAAAATATTTGAGTATGTTTTTATTAATAAAGAAACATTCTACGTAATTCATTTGTTTAAAAAAATCGGATAAAGGGGCCCACTTTAAGCTAGAAAATTGATATATTTATACACATTTTATGCGACTTCGGGCCGCGGAATGCCCATCGCTGACTTAAGCTTGGTACCCACATGCGGCAACGACGGAAATCGTCGACGGAAACAGTTGCCGTTCCGTCGTCTTTCCATGTCGCGTGTACTCACATGCGGAAATTACCCTACAATTGAAACGCGCCATCTGCCAGCCGTAAATATAAACAAGTTACTACAGTAGGTAGGCCACGTGCCAGTAGTCGAAAATGGCGTCTACCGGGATTGCTTTGTTATATCAATTAAACTTTTTAAGTTTGCCTTCGATCTTATCGCAAATAAAGAAAACCTCAAAAACGAATAATTTGGATAGAAAAAATATTCTAAATCGTCGAAAGTTAGGAATATCGAATACTTTCGTCGCCGAATTACGCTTACTCCATTCCAAATACTTTACGCGGTAAGTCTATTTGACATTAATATTTAAATCGGGTAGTAATATAGAGTATAAATGAAATATATTAGCGTATTAGTGTAGAAATAAAGCTTTTTAGCTTGCCGACCGCCATAGTTCAAATGCTATCGTCCCACGTGATCTTTATGACGACTTTGCTAAACGGTCTTCCTATTGGTCTAATTTTTACCGTGCCGCTTTCCGTCGCGGCAAAAGTTGAAAATTTTCAACTTCGTATTCCGTGGACGACGACGGCAAAAGTGACGTCATTTTGCCGTTCCGTCGACCGTTTCCGTCGTCCGTTGCCGCATGTGGGTACCAGGCTTTAGACCAGTGATTCTCAAACTTTTTCGATCCACCGCCCCCTTTGTTCCATAAAGTTATACCCAACGCCCCCTAACCCATTTTCTCTTGTGTGAGAAAAGGATTGGAAATATTCTTAGGAAAACTTTTCTATGAATCTCACACTTTGTGCCCTTACTGTACATTGTTCTCATCATCTGGAAACCATTAAACGCAATGTTTCCTCTTATCAGCCCCAATTTTGCCTATGGTCACCGTTCAATACCCTGCCTCTATCATAGATCTATTCATCGTGCCAGAAGGGGGCGTTATTGCTTACTTTGAGAAACGTTGAGCTAAAATAAAAGTCAATGTGTTAGAAATATTCAAGTTGTGACCTTCAATAAAAAATAAAAAATATATAAAATGTCAACATTTTATATATATTCCGTCGAATTTTTATATATAGAATTTGTCTGCCGTCGCCCCTCTATATTTCCTTAACGCCCCCCAATTTTCTTTGAGCCTTCTACTGCCCCCCTGAAAGCCTCCAGCGCCCACAAGGGGGCGTTATTGCCCACTTTGAGAAACGCTGCTTTAGACTATGCCTACGACAACGAGTCGGTCGCGACACATTTTTAAGATAAAAAGTAGATCTTATGTACACAAAAGTTGGCCATCCCTGCCATATAACTCTCTTGATCGTACCGGGAATCGTTTTTGAGTTTTAGCGGCATGCACATTGTACACTTACCTTTATTATATATATTTATTTCAAGATTTTCTTAGAATCCTTTAACACAAAACTTTTGTAAATTCCACTACAGATATTAAGAAAGAAGAAGTAGAAGAGAATTATGATGTAAAACATGGTATAAAATCAGAATGTAAAGTTGATTTGAAAAAATTGAAGATTAAAGTAAAGACTGAAGATTGTAAAGAAGTTGTTCAGTTTCCAGATGATAATGAACAAGTAATGGTAAGTAATACAAATTTCGAAAAATTTCATAGTGAAATTTTAATATTAATTTAGCTTTTTGAACGGTTAAAAACATAGCTTAATATCACTAACATAATACGAAAATATCTAACAAAAAGTTGCGTAAATATCCAGGCTGTTAAGAGATTTTATTTAAAAATAACATTTGTTATTACTGATTATCTATATTTATATATAACATTGCTTGTTCTGACTGACAAACTAACTGATTCATCATCGCCCAGAGCAAACCGCTGAATCTAAAGAGGTGATATTTGGTACACTGTTAGGGTACGTAATGAAAACGCACAATAAGAAGAGATTTTCCGAAATTCCCCCGCAGAGGGCAGAGGGAGAGCATTAAGGCTTAACCGGAAAAACGGCTTCTACTGTACTTCTTTAGATGCTAATTTTTGTTTTTATCTGCGATGTGGTAGGGTATGCCATCACAATGCACACTAAGAAAGGATTTTTTGAAATTTCCCCGCGGGGGGAGAGACAGAGGATTTAGTCTTCATCGAGTACTTAGGTGTATTAAATCGATAACATTTCAGACATTGTTATAAATATTTTTATCCATTTCGATTTTAAAAATGTTCGAACCGTTTTAAATTCGAATTTGTTATTTCGTATTCGTATTGTATGCGTTTTAGTAGGGTATGCCATGAGAATGGACACTAAGAAGGGATTTTTCTAAATTCTCCCGCGGGGGGAGAGGGAGAGGATTAAGCTTAACCGGAAGAATGGCTTCTACTGTACTATTTTAGATGCGATTTTTTGTTTTCAACTACGTTTAGTCTTCATCGAGTACTTAGGTGTATTAAATCGATAACATTTCAGACATTGTTATAAATATTTTTATTTATTTCTATTTTTAAAATGTTCGAACCGTTTTAAATTCGAATTTGTTATTGCATATTGGTTTGATTATAAAACGATTCTAAACGTACCAGAAAATTGATCAAATTGAAAATAGTTGAAAATATCTCGGCAATTCTCATCATTCTCAGCGGTAGGTGTTATATAACTATATCTATGGTTGTTGAAATACTCAATATAAATGGGGTTTGCTTGCAAAATTCGCGCGGGCATAGCCGCGGAAAACAGCTAGTAAAAAATAGAATTGTGTAACGCCATATGTCATAAAAACTCTCTATGATTTTAATTACAGTAGACCCCCTATAAAACAAGTTCCGATAATTACGATTTCTATAAGACGACGAAAAAATTGCGACGGTATCCGTAAAAAACGGTAAAAAAAACTCATATCATTACGTAAAAGGTCATCGGGCAGCCTAACTATTTTCCACTGTCCAGCGCCACGCTACGGATAGATTACTATCGCCTGTACAGTATTATATATAAATTAGATACTGTATATATAATTATATATTAACTTAATTTATTGTAACTTTATTATAATTATATATATGCTTTCTGCCGTCTAGCGCTACGCTATGGAGAGTTTAGGCGAACTATCGTGTGTACAGTATGTAAATTAGGTACCTTAATTCTAATACAGTACTGTAATTTTATACATTTCTTGTGAAAGAAACATTTTTTATTCAACGGCAATAAAAATTATTTATATTAATCATGTCTCCAAAGTTCAGCGAAGTTTTCGCAGAAAAATAATATCAGAAATCGCGCCTGCGGTTTGCTGAGCTGTTCCGCGACGAAAACAAGCTTGAGCAATGGCGACGTCGAATGGTGCACACTCGGTAAGTAATCCTAATTTTTTGTTTATAGCGTAGTTTATATAGATTATTCCTCAAAAAAATATAAGTTACGTATTTTGGAAATGTTGAGTCGAATTAGTCTAGGATCGATTTATTTTATGGAAGAAAATCTTTCAAACAGCCGTAGTCCGTAAACTTCACATGTGTCGGGCTGTGATTGGCAAGGACTCGTAAGAAATCGGATTCCTAAAGAATGGAACGTATCTACCGTCTTATAGGGGGGCCGACTGTATTATAAAGTAAAGAATGGCTTAATTTTAACGGTAGAAATACATTTCACAATGAACTATAGATGCTAACAGCAAATAAAATCTTCATTAAGTCCGATCCACTCGAGATTGTACACGTTACCTCTTTTTATCTCCTCCAACCACGACGATTTATTACCAAAATTTAATTGCATTAATGCTCGTTATACACAACGTACGGTGCAACATTTCGTTTCTTTATCTTCAATTGTAAAATATTAAATGAAATAGACGCCAAAATACACTCCCACACATACACATTTACGGAATTTATTGCCATGTTTTTTCGGTATAGAAGATCTCAAAATCTGAAAATTTGCAAAAAATCGTGGGTTTTATCTGTATGTATGGATGTTAATGTGTAGGGGTGCACGATTTTGTTCACTCTGTTTGAAACGTTGCCGGGAAAGTTCAACAACTCGTTACTGCTTTATATATCATAAGTGATTATTCGTGATTGTTATGTATTGTTTGTATATTGTTTAGCCTGTCAACAATGAATTATTCACTCTGGAAGAAAACTTTAACAGGAGTGAAATGAGCATCCAAAGTAAGTAACATGTTACTTAATTTAAATTTTTCATATTAATATTATTTAGAGGGCAGCTAAAGAACTGCATTCAAGTTTCAACTGTCATACATTTATCTGGGATGTGATATTACAGAATTATAAGTAACTACCTACATCGTATTAATATAAATTTGAACTTAATAAAACTATGCTGGAATAATCAGAATCATTAAATCACAACTCATGACTTGTGATTTAACGATTCATGTTATCTTGCGTTGTTTATGGATTCACTAAAATAATAAAGAAAATGTATTAAAACAAAGTAAACGACAGCTATATAACTTATTTAATGACATAAATAAGTAAATATTAGCATCGTGTTTTCTAATACGTCGCTAATATTCTTGGAAAACGTTGTACAGATCTACTAGACATACGCTCAAATTATGGAATTTTGATTTAAAAAATCATAAGAATTGATTTATTTATCTTCACTACTTAAAATTCATAGACTTTTGCTGTGGAACTTTTTTTTACAGTAATGATTTCTTCTCCTCTCTGAAAACAAACAATTTTTTCTAAGCTGAATTAATCTGTTCATGATTTTAAAATATTCTATTATTAGTGCGAACAACAAATAATGCCTTGCTTTTAAATGAAAAACATAGGTATACAGTAGATTTCCCTATAAGACTGGTTTTTACAATTACGATTCCAATAAGACGGCGAAAAAATTGTGGCGGTATCCGTAAACAACGGTAAAAAAACTTTTATAATTCGATAAAACGTAATCGAGCAGCCGAACTACTTTCCGCCGTCCATCGCCACGCTACGGACAGTTTAGGCGGGTAAATTGGGTTTATTATCGTCTGTACAGTATTATATATATATTATATATAAATTAGGTACTGTACATATAATTATATATTAATTATATATAAATTAGATACTGTATATATAATTATATATTAATTTAATTTATTGTAACTTTATTATAATTATATATATATACTTTCTGCTGTCTAGCGCCACGCTACGGAGAGTTTAGGTGAGCTATTGTGTGTACAGTATGTAAATTAGGTACCGTAATTCTAATACAGTACTGTAATTTTATACATTTCTTGTGAAAGAAACATTTTTTATTCAACGGCAATAAAAATTATTTATATTAATGATGTCTCCAAAGTTCAGCGAAGTTTTCGCAGAAAAATAATATCAGAAATCGCGGCCGCGGTTTGCAGCGCTGTTCCGCGACAAAAAAAAAAACAAGCTTCAGCAATGGCGATGTCGAATGGTGCAAACTCGGTAAGTAATCCTACAATTTTTTGTTTATAACGTAGTTTATACGGATTATTTCCAAAAAAAATGTACGTATTTTGGAAATGTTGAGCCGAATTAGTCTAGAATCAATTAATTTTATGGAAGAAAACCTTTCAAACAGCCGTAGATCGTAAACTTCACACGTGTCGGGCTGTGATTGGCTGTGATTCCTACAAAATTGCTTCATAAAGAACTGAACGTATCTACCGTCTTATAGGGGGATCGACTGAACTTCAATTATATTACTAGAGCAGTAATATTTTAATATTAAAGCTATGTTATGTTTGTTCAAATATAATAGGTAATTTATTATGTTATTTTTTATACTTTCAGTTAAGGAGGAAGAGCAAATTGAGGAACACGATATTCAGCAATATTCAGAAAAACAAAAACATTTCATATATAATATCAAAACAAGGAAATACGTTTTTTCTAGTAGAAAATTCAATAAAATTCATGAAAAGATTAAAAGAAAATACTTTAAAATTATGTTTGCATCTCATTCTAAAAAAGAATTTACGTGTGATTTATGTAAACAGACTTTTAAAAATAACAGAATATTACAAACTCATCTGTTCTGTCATATTAGAAAAAAACCATTTGGCTGCACAACCTGCAACAAGAAGTTTTTGTGGCAATTTCTTTTGCAAAAACACGTGAAAGAACACAAAACTGAAAATGAAAACGAAATCTCTCTTAGGAATTTACGTTTGCAGCCATCTGGGAATCGAGTGAATTCATATCCAAGAAATGATAAAGTTCATGCCTGCAAGATATGTGGAAAAGAATTTAAGTGGAAGCATTCGTTGTTACGTCATCAAGCAACGCATAGTGAAGACCGTCCTTTCAAATGTAATATTTGCAGTAAGGGTTTTAAATCGACAGACAATTTAAAAACACATTACAAAACTTGTACTGATGACTGTAACTATTGTTGTGAAGTGTGTAACAAACGTTTTAAAACAAAAAATAATTTAACAAATCATAAAATAATTCATAATGGTAAATTTAACCATATTTGTAATATATGTAACAAAAGTTTTAAACACAGTTCTAGTTTAAAACGGCATATTAATATACACAACGATGAATACAAACATTTTTGTGACATGTGTAAGNCAAAAAATAATTTAACAAATCATAAAATAATTCATAATGGTAAATTTAACCATATTTGTAATATATGTAACAAAAGTTTTAAACACAGTTCTAGTTTAAAACGGCATATTAATATACACAACGATGAATACAAACATTTTTGTGACATGTGTAAGAAATACTTTAAGACAAAACACTATTTGCGACTGCATAAACTTAGTTATTGTGAAAAATCTAATATCCAGCGGGAAAATGTGTATTGCGACATTTGTGGTAAGCGCGTTCCATATGGTAAGGGCCGTTTAGAAATCCACAAGAGAACACACAAAGTATATGCCTGCAAGATATGTGGTAAAGAATTTACGAGGAACTGTATATTGTTGCAACATGAACAAACACATAGTGAAGACCGTCCTTTCAAATGCGATATTTGCAATAAGAGTTTCAAACGGAAAGAAAGTTTAAAAATGCATTATGTAATTCACAGTGATGAACGTAACTATGTTTGTCAGGTATGTAACAAACGTTTTAAAACAAAATTATATTTAAAACGTCATAAAGTAGTTCATAATAATCAATTTAACCATACTTGTCACATATGTAACAAAAGTTTTAAAAGCAGTATTCATTTAAATCTTCATATTCGTATACACAGCAACGAATACAAATATTCTTGTGATATATGTAACAAATATTTTAAAACAAAACAGTGTTTGAAAATTCATAAAGTAGTTCATAATAATTTATTTAACTATACTTGTAAGGTATGTAATAAAAGTTTTAAACGCAGTGATACTTTAAAACGGCATATTCGTAAATTGAAGTATAAATGTAAATATTCTTGTCATATGTGTAACAAATATTTCAAGACAAAACATTTATTAGAACAGCATAAAAATTTTCATAGCGATAAAAGAAAGTATGTTTGTGACATATGTAAAAAAGATTATAACAATACAACTGCGTTAGCCAAACATCGTCTTACTGAACATGAAAATATGTATTTATGCTATATTTGTAAGAAGCCATTCAAGACAAAATTTCTGCTAAAAGAACATTCGAAAATTCACATTGAAAAGTGTAATATTTGTAATAAGGAATTTAAATGTAAAACCATTTTAATTAATCACCAGAAAATTCATTAAGACAAAAAACCGTTTCGTTGTGAGAAATGCAATAGACTTTTTACCAATTTCATGACATGTATTAAAATGTAACAAAGACAATCACAAAGAAGACAATCTTCGTTACGTATGGAACAAGGAATGTTGTTTTAAAAGTCGTTTATTAAGCCATCAAATCGTTTATCAGAATTAAACGTATTTTTGCAGAAATGTAAAAGAAGAATTAAAACGAAAACTAAACTGAAATTACGTTTAAAATTTTTTGTTTAGAAATACACTTCAATTATCTTAACAATGTAATATATGTAAACGGACTTTTACGTTTGTGGAAGTTTTAGAAAAGCGTATGACTATTTTTAATAATTAGATTCATTTGTGTTGTGACATTTAATTATTCTGTTTTGTTTGTGTTAATGTAATAAATATACTAGAAGATATGGTACAATACGGACTTCTTATTTTTATTATTAATTTTAAGTATAACGTGTATTAAAGAGACTTAACAATATGAACACAAAGTCTTTAGTATAAAGATTGTATTGTCTGAAGAAAGATGTCAAGAGTTTTAATTAAGCATTTTTGCCAAATAATGAATAATTTATGAAAATTTTCTCAGGATAAAAATGTTTTTTTATATGTCTATGTCAGTAATGTTTCACTTAAATCTAATGTATAATTAAATGTATTAATAATAAAATATTTTCTTATTAAAATTTTTAATTACAGTAGAACCTCGATTATCCGGACTAATTGGGGATGAAGGTAGTCCGGATAAGGAAAAATCCGGATAATCGAAACAAATACTTTAATTTGTCTTTTAA